TCTCTCTCTCTCTCTCTCTCTCTCTCTCTCTCTCTCTCTCTCTCACACACACACACACACACACACACACACACACACACACACACACAGAGTCTATGCATAGGAAAGAAGTCTCATGGTAGAATAATTCATTGAAATAGTAGAAGGAAAGAATTCTCATGGAAGAACAATTTATTTACAGTCCACAAATGTGCGGTATGTGTCCAGTGCACTTATGTAGAGGCGAGAAGTTGGAGCCGCATCGTGATGTGATTGTTGTAGACAGGTTTCTTGCATGTAACTGAGAGTCGATGCAGGCTTGATATGTCCTTTTCGAGGTAGCGGGTGATGGTCGAATGGAAGTCGGTGAAGTCCATATGTGACTTATGCATGCTTGAGGAAGAGGAACTTCGATCATAGTTTCCAATTAGGCAATGCAGTCACGTCGAATGTTCACCGTGTAGGTGCTCCTTGGGCTTGGAGTAGTGCGATGGCTCGTCGTATGATATCCGCCCTGAAAGTGGGAAAGAGAGGGAGGGAACACTGTGTTTCGCAATGGTGAAGGAAGATGAGGTCGTTTAGGTATTCTCATACGCGAGGTGGGTGAGAGATGTTGTAGATGTGGAAGGTATGGCATGATGCGAGGAGGTCGTGAATGAGGGCGGCGACTCTTGTTGCACCCCATGGTTCCAGCGGAAGCCACCAAAGGGGGTCGGCTTCATGAGGCGCATGGAGTTGTAATGGGGATTGGCATGGTGGCAGAGCGTTTGCAATGAAAGAGTGTGTATGATATGCGGTAGTGACACGTTCATGTTGGTAAATCAGCAGGCTCGCTAGACGAAGCGTCTCTTATTGTGGGTGAGGTGTTCTTGGAGAGCGAGTACGGCTGTAGTGATCATTGATAAGTTTGAGGAGGAATATTTTTGCGCACTGAAATTGGATGTTGATGTTGGTGGAGGGGTCATGGCGTTGTAGAGATTGCATTCGGTTTTGTTTGTAGAGGGAGAAGAAATCATACAGATGCGGTATAAATGCAGCATGATCAATTGTGAGGAAGTTTTCCCATAATATTTGGGTAATGATGTCTTCAACGTTGTCTTTATTTAGTAATTGGAGTTAGTCATACCATCTGACGAAGTCGGTAATGGAAGCGGTGTGTGAAAAAGTGCAAGGATTGACCAATGTGGAGGGAGGGTGAAAATAATGAGGAGTAGACAACGAAGTTGTAGGGTCAACAATTGTGAAAGTGGTCAAAGGAGCAGATTGGGGATTGATTGAAGACAAGTAAATACTTGTGAGTGTTGTTGTAGGGTGGTGTGAGGAGGAGGTAGGAGAGCGCAGTGCAATTTGTGTGAGAATATCATCATCGAGATCAATTTGTGACAAAGTTGACAGATGTTTCTGGCAAGGCAACCGTAGCAGCGAGAACAATTGTTGCAAAAATGGAGGTAGTAGCAGTTACAAATGTCGATGTAGATGCGCTTGTAGATACTATTGCAGGTTCAAAAGATGAACTTGTTGATAATGACGACTTCATTTTTTGGTGCGACGTCATGTTTTGGGGGAGACCTGTTGGGACGACAAAGAGAGAACGCCGTTAAATGTCAAGATGGGGAATTTAAGTGATAATTTATTTGTAGATTATATCAGCATTTTGGGCATTGTTGGCGGGGAGGGAGTAGCGAATATGTGATAGGTCACCCACCTTTGATGTAGCAACGTAA